TTCGATTTAGAGCCCATGATGGTGGCTAACATAATCTTTTGAAGTGACTTACAGCCATTCAGAAGTCTGCGTATGGAGCTCAGAGCCAGAGTGGGTTTTATAATGGACGGCTGACCTCAACACCGGTTAGCCCACATATATGTTTCTATTTTATTCCAGGAAATTTAATAATGTGGAAAGAAACTATAAATATTAAAATTAGGAATTGTCCTTCATATGTAGTAGCTATAAGTACATTTCTTCCTAAAGGAACGTTTCTGTAGCCAGACAAGGTTTTAAGGTGGTTAAAAGGACCTTTTCCAATGTAGGTAGCTTTGTTGATTCGCTTTCGGGAGCGACGAAACGCAGAGTGCGTAAGAAAAAGCACAAACTAACAAATATTTTCAGCTAAAGGCTGAAAACAACACACTCTTAAGGGGAACTGAATGCCTGAGGGGTGTTAGAGCTCGAAGTCTCTACGAGGCTTTCTGGCCAAAGACGCAAAGCTTGTATGACGTGACTAGTGCAACGAAGCGACCTGCTTATTAACGAAGCGCTAAAACGCCGGAGGGGCTAGCACGTTCGCAGCAAGACAAGAGCATTATAAACGAAAGACGACCTACATACCCCCCCCCCCCCCATTCTCACCGGCTGTCAATTCTGGCCCGATGATCGTATGTGTGTGTGTGTATATACTGCAACGGCAAAGAAAGAACCCTATCATACTGAGATAGAGATATCAATCTAAAAGAGATATCAGAGCTATTTTTTTGCAGCTCATTTTGTTATCGTTTACTCGGGTTAGTTCTGGTCCGGTTCATTTTTTGTTTGACAGGCTGATCGGTGATCCTATTTAGACTGAGACACTGGCGTACCGAAAAACTTTTGTATGGTGACAAAATTTCAGACAACGACCAATAGTGGAGCAGCTGGAATTGACACATAGCCTACAGCAACATTAATTGCATAGAAGTTGCATAGAGTTTCGGTACAACTTTTCATGCACAACGGGCGGTTGAGAATCGTTGTTTCAACAAGCACCGCAACAACAACAAAACCCAACGATGGTTACTGAAAGAGACTTAACCCAACACCAAAAAACGGGTGCAATTTTCTCTACCGAAATACTATACGTATCTACGTAGTATGCCAGTACAGGAAAAATCATACGTTTAGTGACTCTGATCAATGAAGAAGTGGTTCTGGGAATTTCTGGTCTATAGGTTAGGCCTAGTCTCTTGGATTGGCCTTGTACGACCATCGTCAAAGCCGACAGTTTCCATTACAGTAGCGCAATATGTCGTAGAAATAAGCTATAATTTGTGCTCAAAGCGGTCTCACTATAGTTTTAGAGCCGTTTCTTCACTTAATTTTTATTCGTGTCCATAAATGACTCGTCTATGGATCACGTCTTACATTATTCATCTTGTCAGTCGGATCTTTTCTTCGAAAATAAGTCGGAGACACCTATTCTGTCTTCGTGGATTTTTCGATCTATGTCAGCCGTACTCGCGTAGAAATGCTTATCTCACAACGACACCGTTCTGCTTGTGAAATGCAAAGCACCCCTTTTTTAACCTCGAAGTCTAGGCAAATGGTAAAATACAATAAAATCGGACTTCCAGTGTTATGAGGGACGAACTAGAAAGCGCAGCTACGTGGAGTTGAAAGAAATTCGATCGATGAAATGAGGCCACACAAATCTCCTTTATACAACGTAGTATTTTCTCATTATAGCTAAAGTTTCCATGTCTTTTGGCGTGTGTTGGGTTATCTTATTATCTCGTACAATTCAGATGGCCTTTGAACTCGTGATCTCGATTTTTCTTGTTTTAAGGCCAATACCGGATAGTACTTTTGAGCAAGCTTGGGTAACCCACAGCCTTTTATTATAAATTTCGTACCGATACGAGGCATATTCTGTAATAGACTATACTAGGAACGAAATGAAATTCGGATAAATAAAAAATCATTTTTTGTAAAATTCGATGATGTTCTTTGGACTTACGGAAAACATTGCTTAACGTTTTTTTAGGAGACACCAGCATCACATCTTTTGTGTAGGGCTGAATCTAAAGAAAATGGGTTATCGAAAAGTAGATACCTTGAAAACAAGCGGGCCAAAAGGGGTTTCAACGGTCACGACATCAATTACTGTTCCTAACTCAATACGAAGAAGAAACAAGAGATTCGAAACATGCCCCACTCATTGATCTCTTCTTGTTTTTATCTTCTATTGCCCTTATATGCTAAAGCAACCGTAGACGTGGTTCTTACATATTAAAACTGGAATAAAATAGGAAATTTATTAGGTCATAGCAGAAAACGGATTCGGGCGCCCCTTTGCCACAGATGGAATCATATATAACCAGGTTATTCAAATAGAAAGAAATAGTTGCTATCTGTTTGGGTTCTTCTTTTCTGTGCGCAACTATCAAAACAAAAAGAACAAAAGCAACGTCGAGAAAAAAAAGGTTACAATTGTAACACAAGCAATAATAACTGTTCACAATAATGCCCTCGATACGTAGATTGTACTTTCTATTCGCCGTCTGAGCAGAAAGTTTTAGCTTTCGGCGACAAAGTTGCGGAAACATAAAGGGGAATCCGGGAGAAGGAGTATAGTACAAAGCTGAAAGCTTTAGAAGTGTCGACAAACAATGGCGGACGGTGATGGGGGTGTAGTGTATTGCAGTGGCAGCAAAACTAAAAACGATAGCAACCTAGAAAGATAGCATCGACAGGAAAACGTTCCTTCACCTGTGCACAAAAGGCATTAGATGAATCAACTGATCCTGAACGTTGAAGAACGCCATAGAAAAATTAACATTGACGAAGACAACCATTAAGATGGCTTTGCGGCGGACGTGACAATGCTCTTAGGTGGCTCCAATAGGCATTAAACCTTTGTTACCCAGCCACCATTCCAACAGCTGCTGTTTGTAGTAGGACAGGGAGGCCCGCCGTGTCCCACGTCTTGCAAAATAGCAGAGTGCACAGTCGGAGTGCACCCTCATTTAGCACCAAAGTTTTTCAGAGTTATTTGTTCCATTGTCTCTGCACATCGAAAAGTATGCTAGAAGAACGATGGAACAGTGCCAGGATGAGCGCTTGCACTTTTCCTTCAGCGATAAATTTTTGTGCGGGTCTCTGCGATTTCACGCGTGTGTATATGTATGAGCCTACTCGAAATCGGCCGGACATTGACGCCCATCGACGGAACCACAAACTGAAAAGCCGTCGGCCAAGAAAGTTTGATTGACGGAGCCGACGACACTCAGGAACCATCTTTCTTTCTATATATTCCAAGCCTAAACGAACGACTATGTAGAACATTAAACTAAAATGTCATATAATAAAAAATTATTGAAATAATTGACCAGGAGCTGCCAACAGCAATAGCGCGTACGTGGCATCAAAGACGATATACCCAGCGTTGGAAGTGTTCAGTGTTGTGGTATGAAGAAAGAAGGGAAGATACCAGAACGGGGATACGTGTCCTTTGCGATATTGAAGGCAACTATTTTTTCATTATGAAATCGACTTAAAGGAATAGCCTGTGCTAGTTTTTCTGGTAATGTCAGTAAAAGTAGCTGAGTAACCCTTGCTTGTATAAGCAAGAGGAAGAAGACTTAAGCAGGTAAAGGAAAGGGGTACAAAACAGGACAGATGAACTTTAGGAACGGCCACAAGGTCCGAGCAAATGGTAAACAGGTCGCTTTTAGAAACAGTCAGCAACTTCGTGCATACTACTGTAGAGAACAAACAAAGTGTGCGTAAGGAACGAGCAGCAATATATATATATGCGTCGATAAGCACACACAGCAAAGGAAAAAAGGTAGAAAACACCGGAATATAGGCGCCCCTACATACAGACCTTAAAATTGATTGCACACACACGCGCTACACGCTAGACCTGGAAGACAAAGAAAACTTTTTGCCATCCTTTAAAAAGCTTCGAATATAGAAAAAGAAAAACAGCCAACGATGTAAAACTCTTGTAGATATTCCAACCAACACAAAATGAAAGCGAGAACGACAAACAACTGCGCGCTCTAAGACCATTTCCTTCGTGCGGTGTAACTGTTTCAATACTAAACTGAAAAAACAGTTCGTACAAGCAGTACAGAGGAGCGCATCTTGAAAAATAATGGTTAGCCAGGACAGGGCCCTCTGCGTAACAAACAATGGACATTTGTTATGAAAACATTTGAATGAACAAAAAAGGAAAATAGGCTGATATATGTATGTACGAATGGATAAAAGTGACACAGGGAAAAGAAAAGAAACAGACGACTGGATGAGAAGGGAAAACGATTGTGTATATATATCATCAACGCCACAGCTGACTTTTTTGTCGATTATTGTGGAGGGGTGAGGGGACAGAGGAAAAATGTACCCATCTTTCCCGTGTTTTTCGTCGCTATGTTTCGGCCGCTGCTTTTAAGGAAATATTTTCCACTAAGCTACGAAAAACCTGTAGCTCCAGAAATTACTACAGCTTAGTACATACATATATATAGAAGGAAGCGCGCGATTTAGTACGCATTTAGGATGACCAAACTATATAATTATAACAAAGGAAAAGCAAACCTGCAAATATGTTAGAAGTGAACCTAAAATTAGATAACTTTGGACAGGACGCACATTTTCTGCAGAACATGCATGTATTAGTATGGTCACTGTATATAATCTTGCGTTTTTTTGATTGAGCAGGTCCTATCAGTAGTCGGCCTATCAATTAAGTGAATGATCTAATTTCCATCTTCAGCCGGATCCACCAACCGAATTGAGCATCTTTACGCTTCTTATTTGTAAAATTAAAAAAAAAACTTTATTTGTGCTTACTTTCTAAACATTCGTCACATTTTTACATGGCAACAACTGTGGTAAGGGTTACTAATCCCGCACCCGAACTCTATGGGTAAAAAGTGCTCTGGTCTTATAAAATTGTATGCGTATATGTCGATCTATATCGCGTCTCTATAGATATATAAAGTAACTTTCCAGTTGATACTCACGGATGAATCTGTAATGTCTGCTTCCTCTTGAAACGTTTCAACAACGCCCCTCTGGTTAACGTTAACATTGATATGGTGGGTGACTGGAGTTGGTCCTGATGGTTTTGCAGACCCTGCTCCGCCTCTGTCGCCACCAGCTGCGCCGCCTGCTGTGTTCTGATGCACAGGCGGTGCCGTATTGTGCAGCGATGCCTGCCGCTGCTGCTGTTTTTGTTGTTGCTGCTGCTGCTGCTGCTGCTGTTGTTGTTGTTGTTGTTGTTGTTGGTGCTGCATGGCTTTCGAGATGGCAGTAGGCTGTGTCCCCCTGGGCGGCGGTTTTGGCCCCCGCCCCCTTCCGGACCCGCTCCGTGCGCCTCTGCCGGGACCCAGCCCGTCCATCGCATCACCAACTGAAAACACTGAAATCCGTACAACAATATGATTAAACTAAACTTTACCTTTGCAAGTCAGTGAGGTTGATTTATCACTTTTCATCTTGTCGTTATAGAATAAGCTTAATAATTCATTTATTTAAAATTGGGTCAATTAATTGGGTCGATCCATTCACTTATTCGTTCCTTTTTCCCCATAATACATGACGCCTATTTAAACTTCACGTGTTTCTGAGAAGGATCCAATGGAATCTGCTGCTGATAGTGATACTGGCTGTTCAGTGTTATCTCAATGAATATGAGTATTCGTAATACAATTCATCTGACCCCGACGCTTGTATATACAATAAACACATTTCAACATCTAAGTAAAAAGAAGGCTTCAAACGAATCTGTGAGAATGTGGCAGACGTTATGAAAATCTTCTTTTCAAATAAAACAAACCGAAAAATTATCTAACACGATTCTGTATAACAGGCCACAGACGACGTGTCTTCACATCTCGTCTCACCCACCATTGCGTGTCCCGCCAGCGGATTTTCATCCATCTTTCTTGGAGCCCTCATGTCAGTTAAATAAAATACGCCTATATATTATCTTATTACTATTATTATTCATTTAACGCCGAAGTATTAGTTTAGGGCTACGTATTTTATAAAATAACTGCTGTGTCTTACCTTCGGCTCACCTCAGCTGCAGAAGTCTTCGGCGGGTCACCGATATCCTCACAAACGCTGTGGATTGCACCTCATAGTTTTACCGCTTCTATTGAGTTATATTCGTAACCCAGCTTTTCGTATTAAATGGCAATATCTCTTTTTTCCTTACATATCGTCGCCAATATCGACTCGATCGTAGCTACATTTCATCCAACTAGCTACCTGAAAAAAACGACATCTGAGTGTCAATTCGAACGATTTTTTATTTTTTATTTTTTTTTTAGGTTCGGTTACCCCCTTAAGCTGAAAGTTAGCTCAACTGATAATGCGTAAGACAAAAATTAGCAGTGTTAAAGGTAAGGCTTGGTTGCCAACGCTTCTCGGCGACATAACGAGCCATCGGATAACAAAATATGTTACATATTTAGTAGCAATCTAATTTGTTAGAAGATTTCCAATTGTCGATATGTTTCCCGCGCTAACAGAGAAGTGGTTCGTGTTCGCAAAGAGATCTTATCAAAGGGTCCTTTTATCTTTTTTTTACCATTATCTCATCTTTTTCTGTGTTACTCTTATCAGATGAACTGCACATAAACGACGTCCTATTTTCTAGCTCGCCTGTCCCTAAATCGCTGTCAGGCATACATAGAAGCCCTCTTTCTGCTTTTATTGAGGCCACAGGGATGCTATTATGCACTATCACCATGACCCGCGCGGTATGGAAATGGTAATCGTCTTCTGTCGTGGCTTCAAGCCGTTGGCAGCGTGGGACTTAATTAGACGTTTCGCGTTGAATCCGAACTAGATAAAGTATATGGAGCTGCCGTAATTCAAAATGAGCGCTATCACCATAACTTCGGAGGGAGGGTTTTGTCTGGCCATCTTGATCCCACCGTTTCGGCCCATTAGCTTAGGACGAAGCACTACACATCTGTAGATAGCATGTCGCGTACCAGATGAGCCAAGCGTCCATTACCGATAATCGATATCATATATTTTTGTTGGTTTTTTTACGTGTGCCTAATGATACATAATAAGAATAATGCAATACAATGTAAAGGGTGAGTCACAACAAGTCTAAAACCGTGAAGTATATACTTCGAGGGTTATCCGAAGAGGATCTACGGCATAACTGGCCCCACCTCGGTTCCCCGCTGAAGTCGCCTTCGTTGCGAAATGGCAGTCTCGATGTGAACTACAATATGCTGTGTTTCTTTTCATCAGTTTATTAGCTATCCGGTTTGTTACATCTGTGAGACATCGACTCACGGTGCCTGTACCGTTCATACACGAAGAGGGGTGCACTACACCCGCTACCATAAATGTATTATTTCGGACGTTAGAGTCAGTATTTGTTGGACCTGATAGGCTTGCTGGAACAATCGAACAAAGTAAATAAAAAATCAAAGATATTGTTTAAGAAACAGCTTTTCGGCTGATTGAACTTACGTCAGAGGTAGGTTAACACAATATACAGATCACGTTATCGACCGCAGTGACGCGGTACAATATGCCTAAACCTAAAGGGTGTGTATGCTCGTACACAAAGACATTAAACGAGCACACGTAGATACGCATGGATAGATATACCCTACTCGTGGCCGTGTACTAAAGATGGTTACATAAAGATGATAGCCGCACTGGTTTTGTCAGCAGTAGTAAAAGCGAAAATGGATGTGGCCAACGGCAATAAGAAGATAGCAATTTGCGTTCTAATCGAATGCAACCGCAGGCTTCTTTCTAGTTTGCTTAAAAGCCGACCACGAAAACGGGGTTTTCTACTGGGTTTAGCATGTCGTCAGCGCAAAATCACCATGATAACAATATTTCATACCCTTAGAGCTGGCAGGCAAGCTAGGACGCCTTTAAACGTTATATGATGGAGCCATTTACTAGAATAGGATACATGACACGTCTTGAGGCTAAAATATGATCTTTATAGGGAAAATGATCGGCATATGCACGTACAGAAACATCGATTTACGTTATACTGACGTGATCGGTGGACTTTTTTACCCCATTAGTTTTTATTAGATTGACATTGTATGTCTGTCATATGTCTGCTTCCTGTGTCATTTTTTGTGTGTGCCGATTTCGCTGATCACCAATTTACCAATCTGTCTTCGTCTACGCGTCAACAACGCTTCTTCGTTTACGCTGCTGTTACGGTTAATGGTGCTATTTTCACGTCTATGTATAGTCATTCTTTGGCCTCCATGTCTCGAGCAGCAATCAGCAGCCGAATGTATTAGGTCGAAAGCTTTGTCCTTTTGCGCCTGTCTAGGGTCGCCATTAGCCAGCGTTAGGTCTTTTTGTAAGGCCCTACTCTGCTCGACGGAGAAACGTATGTTCTGACAACAGGCAGGCCGACGGAGCACAGCTCAACGGACCAATCTGGACTTAGGTGTTTTTATTCGTGAACGCGATCTCCTCATAGGGCGTCCTTGTAGTCGTAGAACTTACTGTTACAACACAAGTCCGCCTCCTCCGACTACTCCTACTAAATAGAAATGCATAGATATTTACTATGTATTACTTTTTTATATGACCGTCCAGTGTAAGCAACATTGAACTATTTACATACTGGACGGCTAAAGACGTACACAGTGTAGACGAACGATCATTGAACGTTGACGATTCTATGAGATGCATAGTGTATAAGAAAGAGAAAAAAAACTCCATGTATACTTTTACTTAGCCCAAAGGTCTTTCTGGGATGTTTGCGACTCATGCTATACGTACTTGGATAAGTTCGCTTGTTGAATAACAGATAACTCTTCGTATAATTTTTTGAGCTGAGTTTCCAATGAGAGTGGTTAATATGTCGTTTTTAGTAAAAACCGATCCGATCATGCCAATACAGATACAAAAATTTACATAAAATCTAGGCTCCGTTGCGTGATGCTACGGCTTATATCATTATATAGTCACTATAGACGTCATGAATGATTTGGACATTTGCTGTAGTATAATATATGTGATATTCCCACCGAAGTGCTCACGGCCAATTGATCCGGCGGCATCAATCGTATAAATGTGTCAACCTGTAGCGTAACTAGTCAGCATAAATCGGTTTTGGAACTAAGAGATTTCGGCGGAAATACAAACAACCATCAGAGCCATGCCCCACACTCGTCCTACATAGACTGCTTTGCTCTGGTGGAGTCCACTTATAAGTACAAGTAGTAATCAAGTTCTTCATTTCTCGCCTAACTAGATCTTTAACTTGCCTCTAGAATGAATCTGGCACAGGAAAATTCTGCTATACCGATGAGATCCCGCCAAACGGTGCTAGGTCCACTAGCAATAAAGAATATATAAGTGCACATTTTTATATGTTTAACGGCTTCTTGCCATCATATAATACCCTAATACGTCTTACGAGTGATTCCATCCTGAGTTTTAGTTCCACTGGTAGTGAAGATTTGACCACGAGTAGCGATGTATAGTTTTCACTTGACAGATATGCCAACTAGCTGAACGTTTTTCAGTTATAATATATTGCAAACTTCCACTTTTTCGCGCAAAGCGAAATTTACGTGGCCGACTACACAATGATCGTTGCCAATTTCAGGCTCATGAACTGGCAATGGCTGTTTTCTCGGTGCAGCTTTGCCGTACGGTAGTATGGAACGCCCTTGCATGTTATGTTTTATTGAATCGAACGTTTTATTCCGTTTTACATCACGACTCTCGTGAATTCGTACACCGCTTGCATTACAATTAGGTTCTTTTCAATTTCACGTTGCCAGGCTTGCGATTTGGTTCAGGCATCGAGCAGGTGATTTGAGGTAGGCGTTGAAATCAATGTCCCTAATTTTAGTAGTTCCTTTCGATGCCTGTAGATAAACACCTGGATTATATGTAGGATGAAAAGCTACACTGGGTAATGGCTGTAGAGGGCCCCAGTGAGACCGAATACACGATGAAGATGTATATCCATCGATTGAAATGCACATGCAATGTCAAGATAGAACATGCCTCAATGCATATGATGGACCCCCGAGATCGCCGCTACAAAATTGCGTAGGAGTAAACATCGACGCAGCCTCAGCTCCAGATAATATGGCCTCACCTTTCCTCAAGATTGTCCCTATTCTCGCATGCGTTCCCACACTTTTTGAGCCGAGGGCATCTCCGGGGTCGGGTCCAGGGCAGTTGTTAGGGTCCGGTCCTGCCACACAGATTGGACGTTCGTAGTGAAGTCGAAAAATTTTACCGAGTTCACGTCTGAGCTCAGATTTGCGTGCAAGCTTCGCATAACACCTAGAGATGCGTTTAGAATAGCTAGGCATTGCTCACAAAATGTACACCAAACATTCAACTATGTATCGAAAATTACCGAAACACTCTGCAAATTAACAAAGCATATGGCTACATGTTTGCTCAATATCCGGCTAGTCGAATCTAGGTATTAGGCTCAAAACATTTTGTTGCTCAAAAACAGTTGCCGATAGCACCGTCTGAAATTTAGATAAAAATGAAGCTATTTACAGATGCTTGAGAGTTACGTTCGAGTGGCAAACGAAATTCACATTGTTAGTATGGTCGAGGTTTATCTTGCACCAGTAGCTTCATTCTCAACGTTTTTTTAGGGCAAAATAAAGCTGACTATTTGCTAGTTGCACAAAGATCGACGAGTCATGCCCACGTATGAATGTATGCCCTCTAATTAAAAAGGCATTATATTTCGGTTTGTATGGGGCGTGTTGGTGGACAGCACAATATGGAGACCAGGTTGCTAAATTCAAACGAGATCTTGATACTCGAACGTTCGATGTCTTAGTCGAAATTATAAACCCACTAATGATTCCTCGATCGGATAATTTAAGAAATAGATTGTTCAAATTCAACTCTTCAAGGGGACAAGCACTGATATTGAAGGTAATGTTTTTGTTCGAGGTGTGGCCTGCGGTATCTATGAGCAAAGCGACTCCGAACTGAGTAATATTCCCCCTTTCCAAACAAGTAGCTTTTACTGTAGATATTTCAAACCCGCTAGCTGGGACATGAGCAGCTTCATCGCCCAATACTTCCTTTGACATGAACTGACACAACCGCAGCCCGGTTATAATTAACAAAGGCCCGTTCTCTAGTAGCTAATTATTCATCCAACTGTGAAGTTTACGGTCCGTCATAACAATGTAACGTAAATTCATGCTTTCTACCCTATGGACACTTTCTCTAATATGCGTTTTCTGATGGACCATGTAGAAACTATG